ATCACAAATTTAGTATGAAATGTAAAGCTCGTAAGTAGAAAAGTAAAGGAAAGTAAAGGACCCTTTTCCACGCCTGTAGGCGTATAGGGCATATAGGGCTAGACCTATATTTTTTAGACCAATGGCACAAGATGTGTGATGTGGCCAGTACCACTCCGGCCGCCTCTACTTCCCGGGTGTGAAGCTTGTAAATTATAATTATTGAAATTGATAGTTTTAGTTAAAACTGGTATAAAAGTATATATTTTACAAGCGCTAAGATAATAATACGTTTTTATTGAATGACTAAGCTATGCCAAATAAAGTCGATGGTCGACTATTGAAAGGTTGCTCTTATACACTGTAAACTGTGTATACGAGCTTCTATTCTTGCATGTCTGCTACTTGCAAGTACTCTATCAATAGATTAATCAGAAATAGGACAAGCATAATACACACACACACACACACACACACACACACACACACACACACACACATATATATATATATATAATATATATATATATATATATATATATATATATATATATATATATATATATATATATATATATATATATATATATGCTTTTCGCTTAATGCCTGGCAAACGAGTCCTTTCTTTCTTTTACACGAAACTCGTAAATATGTTAGCCTGTGTCAAAATTGGACTCAGACCCAACACCAAGAGCTAAGAATTATTGTGAAATGCTTTTTTTTTTTTTTTATTTCATGCTTTCTCGGGAGCTCCACACACGAAAAGAAAATTGGCTATAAACATGTATGATATCAAATTATATATGGAAAACATGAGAGCAGACTCTTAAAGATGGCAAAAGAAAATAATGTTGGCACGAGTAGTGTGATTTGCTATTCCCTACTAGGTATTAAGAATGCAGAGGAAAATAGAGAAGAAGAGATAGCAGTAGCTCACCATCACAGGAGGGGGAGCCCCAGGAAGTGATACCAACCACGACTGTGCAGTGGTCACCACACGTCATCGGGTCACCACACATCATGGGGCCACCACCGTCGCCCATACAAGCACTCGGTCGGGTTCCGTATGGAGCTGATCATTGAGAAATCAAGCACAGGTTAAACTTAATAATGAATGAATGAATTAATCAATCAATCAATCAATCAATCAATCAATCAATGAAGAATTGACATCACTGCACTCGGGACATTCCCACACGCGCTCTGTCCCCTTCTTAAAAAATAAACGAAGAGTCAACCTGCTAATAGTACCACTTGTAACCTGTTTTAAAGTCCGCCTCTATAATCTCTGTAAGTAAAAAAAAGTAAAGTTCCCTTTTCACACCTTTCGGTGCATCGGGCATATGGGCAGAGCGTCCCATATTTTTACAGACCATCAGCACTCTGTGGGTAATGTGGTCAGCATTACGCCGGCTGTCTTTACTTTCCCAGGACATAATGTTAAATATTACCCAGAACCTCTACCCCCCACGCCTTGCCCTCTATCCCCACCCCCTAAATTATTTTTTAGGTGTGTGAACTCCTTATCAATTCGTATGCACTATCAGCTTGATCTCATAGAACCTTTGCCACATCCGCCATATCATATAGTAGCTTTCCACCCAGAGGATCGGCATCAGGTAATCTAACAGCCTGATCGTTATCTCGCAATTTTTATAATGGTTTACTTTAATGTTTTAAATGTATGTGTTTTTTTTCAAATGTCGGCGCCTGTGGCTTAGACAATGCTAACGCACTTGCTAACTCCAGGGTGCTGGGGTTGAAACCAGGAGCAGGCGATTTAACAAGAAGCCGACGCAGCGTCGGTTTCGACGCATTGATAGCCGAATGTTTAGAAAGCAAATGATAAACTTTTTTTTCTTCCTCTTCTTCTTCGTCTCCTTCTTCTTCTTCTTCTTCTTCTTCTTCTTCTTCTTCTTCTTCTTCTTCTTCTTCTTCTTCTTCTTCTTCTTCTTCTTCTTCTTCTTCTTCTTCTTCTTCTTCTTCTTCTTCTTCTTCTTCTTCTTCTTCTTCTTCTTCTTCTTCTTCTTCTTCTTCTTCTTCTTCTTCTTCTTCTTCTTCTTCTTCTTCTTCTTCTTCTTCTTCTTCTTCTTCTGATTCTTCTTCTTCTTCTTCTTCTTCTTCTTCTTCTTCTTCTTCTTCTTCTTCTTCTTCTTCTTCTTCTTCTTCTTCTTCTTCTTCTTCTTCTTCTTCTTCTTCTTCTTCTTCTTCTTCTTCTTCTTCTTCCTCTTGTTCTTCTTCTTGTTCTTGTTCTTGTTCTTCTTCTTCTTCTTCTTCTTCTTCTTCTTCTTCTTCTTCTTCTTCTTCTTCTTCTTCTTCTTCTTCTTCTTCTTCTTCTTCTGACTTCTAATCCCCAGTGGAGCATAGGTCCTTAGTCCAACTCACACCACACGGGAAAGAAGTAGGAGTTGGTTCTGCAACGTATAGGGTCTTTAGCAGAGCGTCGGAAATAAGACGTAGGTATGTAGGTAAGTTGTATCCCACCAGGAATCACACAAGCGATAAATACCAAACGACACAAAGTGCTCCCATGAGGATGAGAATCACCCATGGAGAGGTCCCAGAAACCCTGTTCAGCCGTTAAGCCAAATTTAAGGCCCGGCTATGTTTAGGGTCCCCGGCAAAAGCCAGGGTGGGGCTTCAAAGTAGCTAAAAATTGCATTTCAAACGGGATGACTATTGATTGTAGACAAAAAAAGAGTTTCTCGGGTCTTATCCAACAGGGAACCACTGAACATATTTGTCTAATCCATTCGGCGCTCGGTGGGTGATATTGTCAATATCACCACTCGGAAGGTAATACTGTCAATCACCACTAGGAGGGTAATACTGTCAACATCACCACTAGGAGGGTAATACTGTCAACATCACCACTCGGTGAGTAATACTGTCAACATCACCACTCGGAGGGTAATACTGTCAACATCACCGCTCAGAGGGTAATACTGTCAACATCACCACTCGGAGGGTAATACTGTCAATATCACCGCTCAGAGGGTAATACTGTCAACATAACCACTCGGAGGGTAATACTGTCAACATCACTACTCGGAGGGTAATACTGTCACAAAATTGCTGGGGTGGTTCTGTAACAAACTGTAAAGCGCAAACTAATTATGCACTACGACGGCTCCCATACTTAAAGTACCAGACAATGATTACTGTCCTTTCAATTCAAAAATAAAATAGGATGAGAAGGAAGTGTAATGTCCTGTTTCGCAATACTTCTTCTTAGTTCACTAACTGTAAGCTCTAGCGGAAAGTCCTGGTTATTCGTCTATTTTGACTTTGATTTTGTGCCTGGGTCCTGCGTTTTGCGTGTACATCCGTTTTACTGGCTTTTTGTGAGTAGCTGGTTGTTCTTTGCCGCTCGGGCAATGCACTCCGACTTCAAAGGAAGCTCTGAAATAGTTGACTCTTGCAATATGCATTGGGGCGGGGAGGGGTGGGTGGGTGGGCAATGGGTCTATTCTTGTTTTCCTTACAGTGAAGATTTCACAATACAATTGTTGACGTTTACCAGGGTTCTGTTTCAGCGATGTTTGGTTGATAAAACTATCGTTCTCGTGGCTATCACACAGGGGAAGAAGAATCGAACACGACAGAGACTGGGTTCTCATCATGCAATGTTCCCATTGTTAGCACTGGACACTGCAGAACCTTCAATATAAAGACAATACAATTTTCTTCAAAAGGTCGAGTCAGGGGGAAATGGGTATCAGGAAGTGTCTTGGAAAGACAAAGCGGCAGTCGTGAATTTGACCACCTCGCCTATAAGGTTTCATCTTTTTCTTTCCTTTTTGGCCCTGCTGCCACTGTGTATTGTTGCGCACATAAAAAAATTATCCATTGGCAATTGGAAATCGAAAAAGTAGCTTAACGGTAAAAATTTAGAGTTTAAAAATCTACCCAAAGTAATTTAGGATCCTCGCCGGTGCAACCGAGTTCGTGCAGATTTTTCAGACTTAGGCTTGAGTTAGAACAAAAACGGAGCACTTATGTGATATACCTGTGGGCCATGATGTTGATCCGTTGAATAAAAATAAACATAAACATAACATACTTAATTACTAATACTTGATTGGTGCAGTGTTTGCCCTGGACAACGTACCAGAGTTCTCGTATAGGCACACATGTTTGCTGGTGATATTCTGAGCAGGCCATCTGGACTGACACTCAGCCGTACTGATCTCGGTAATGTCAACCGTTTGTAAACGCTGAGGAGTTTTGGGGCGAGATTTTGATGTTTGACCCCATCCGGCGATGTTGCATTTCATGGTGGCAAATGGTGAATCCACCACAGCCAACATTGCGAGCTGTCGAATAGCAATATAAGCATGTTTATATATAATAAAATTAGTCAGAAATATGTGCACTACATGACTTTGTGAAAACCCCCCCTCCCCCCCCCCCCCCCCCCCCCCCTTTTTTTTTTACCATAGAGCATCCCAAGCGTTTTTTTTTTTTTTTTTGATACAAATCTAAAGACCCAGAAAAAAATGAGGCCAAACTAATTATATCAGGTAAATGCCTGGAAAGAGAGAAAGAGGAAGGCCAAGGAGAAGATGCGTTCTGGATGTGGCGGATAATCTTTATGGGTGTATCGGACGCGGGACTCTTGCTTGTGATCGAACAGTTTTCAGAAGGGTTATTATGGGAGCAAGCTTCTGCAAAGGACACGCTGCTGACTGATTTTGAGTACTTTGAGATCTTTGAGTACTTCCCTAGTTTTGCATCTGTTCATGTTGGGATAGCCAGAACAGCAAGCCCCTTTACTTTGATTTCGACACAACATCAACAGTCCAGAAGGTACTGGTAAACTACTAAACATAAAATTGCCCAGTTACATCACAAATACAAACACATGTTGAAACTTGTCTGTGACGACTTGTAAGAGAATATGCAACTAATTTTAAGCTATGTGTTTATGTGTATGACTATTTACTATTGCTGCTAGTGTCTTCATTAATAAGCTAATAGATGTGTAATTTAATAATAAGAAATGGTTTGTCATTGCTTACCTTTACGTTATTATTGAATGTAACGTTTTTCTTGAGAGTAATAATAGCTATATCGTTGGCAAGTCCGGGAAATGTGCCCGTATAACCCTCGTGCGTGACGAAAGAGCTGACTCCAATAGTTTGCTTATAGTTGTTGGGTGCTCTACCCAAGTTCAGAACCCCAGCCAGCACACGCAACCTTTCTGGATTTTTGTTAATAACACAGTGAGCTGCTGTTAGAACCTGCGGGACAAAAGTAATTCTATTAAGCTTTTATTATGTTTGAAAATCAAGAAAAAGAATTCTTGCTTGCTACACACATCCAGTTTTAACATATGGCTGTGAGTCCTGGACAATCGGTAGGCAGGTCAAACAATTTCTTGAGGCCTCAGAGATGTGGTTTTACAGAAGAATGCTTAAAATACCTTGGACAGCCACACAAAAAGCAACCAAGAGGTTTTGAAAGAGGCGGGAGCCCGAAGACAACTAATCACAGACATCAGAAGGAGACTTTCATCCTGTTTTTTTGGCCATGTTATGAGAAGAGGGAAAACGGAACATGATGTGGAAGGAGGGATAGAGGAAGACAACTAGTGAAGATTCTTGACAGTCTCGTTGCATGGCATGGAAGTGTGTCAGCACAGGAACTGATACATGCTGCAGGAGATCGCAGATTGTGAAGAGGCATGATTGCCTATGCCAGTCGACAAGGCACCTAATGATGATGATGATGTTTTAAATTGTTTATTTGTTTGTTTGCTTGTTTGTTTATTTGTTTTTGGTAATTTGGGCTGCTGTTTGCTTTTGATTTTTTTTACGGCTTTACGATAAGATCCAGAGCTGATAATTTGCACAAACGTGTCCTGTGGATGACAATACAATCTAGTGAACTGGTCATTTTTCAATGTCCAAAAATGTATGGGACTAGTGACCAAAATATTTTTGTCAAGGTAGACAATTAAATTATAAGGGACATAATCTCTTGAAAGTTTTATTTAGGTATCATTTAAAAAAAAAAAAAAAAAAACACAAAGGGGCTGCGTGGTCTCGAAGCATGGTATCCGCCTCGATTGCTAGAGGTTCCGAGTTCGATCTTGGACTTCTAGTATTTAACATTGGTCTCTTGATAGTGAGATCGGACGCCCGTGTGCATTGCTGCGCACGTATAAAAATCCCTTGGCAGTTGGAAATCGAAAAGAGTAGCCCAACAGCGCTGCCCGGGAAAAATGTGAAGTTAAAAAATCTACCCGAAGTAGTATTTCAGGATCCTCGCCGGAGCTACAGAGCATGTGTACTGTGCTGAGTTTTTTCGGACTCAGACTTGAGTTAGAAGAAGAACGGAGCGCTTATGGGTAACTACCCGTGTGCCATGATGTTGACCCGTTGTTTAAACCTCAAACCTAACAACGCGTTTTGATAGCTTTCAAATATTACTGTTGTTGTTTTATTAGTAGTATTTTCATTGTTATATGATAATTCGTTAACGAATATAATAATATGTTTGAAATAATATACTATTGAAAAACAAAGACTTAAAAGAGAACGTCTATACATAGTGAAGAGAACCGTTTGCGAATGTTCTGGGTGGTAGGGCTCAGCTTTATCAGAAATACTGAGAGAAGAAGGAGGGGAGCGATCAGCAGCTCTAAACATTTTGTTGTTGCGGGGACGGGAATTCAAGTGCCAGAATCCACATGTTTTGCCATCTATAATGCCTGATGTCATGCAATGTACAAGGACGTGTTATGAAAAGATTGCCGTGTTATGTTGACAACATCACTACTAGACTGCTGATTGTTCTTCGGAGATGTAAGTCTTTGCATGATATATTCGATTTGCTACATTTGTGAAAAGTGTCGTGGGATGGATAAAAAATAATCAGGCAAGAATTGGCATCACTGCAGTCGAGACATTCTCATACGTTCTCCGCGTCCCTCCTCGGTAGCCAACGAAGGGTTCACATAAAGAAATACCGGTTACAACCAGTTTGGAAGGTTTGAAAGTTCACCTGTATTTCCCCCCTTGCTGGTGGAAAGTGATTCTCTCCAGACACAGATGCTCAGTCTGTTCTTTTGCACTGTTTACTCGATCCCAGAGAGCCTAACTACGTCCGCTTGTTCATTACGCAACTCACACATTAGAGAGGCTGCAGCAACTAGTCCTTTCATTACGAGGCACACGGGCTTATATACCTGGGCAAAACAACCACCATTTGTGTTTTATACATTAAGCACTGCCACAAACATGTAACGGACCTCACCTTGTTGTTCTGAATAAGCGCGCCACCACAAATATGCAGCCAGTATCCGTCATTTGTCCAGTAGTTCAGTGATACCTGATAGGGAGCGGAGAAAAGAGCGGCAGGACTGCCATTGGCAATACGTTTCACTGCACTGGGAGCTGCCTGCGTCCAGGCTAGAAGTCATAGAAATAAAAGTATATAGACATTATCTTATTTAAATGTAAGTAAAATACTGAAGAAAATTATTTTTTAAATTCTAACCAGTATCTGTAACAGAATTTTGAAGAAAATACCAGTGGTCACCATGGCCAGATGTCATGAAACATTAGGATTTCATACAGATCGTCTTCAGTGCAATATTCAAAAGTTCACACTCTTAGCTAATTTCTGACATGTAACATCATCGAAAAGCAAGTCCTTTACAGAAAGTCGCTCTCTTCAAGGCACGCCTAAAAGTATCCCTTTTCCTAGCAAACTCTCTGGCCCCATGTGGTTTAAATGCCAATGCTTCCTCAATGTTCTGTATTCATCTTCCCTGTAGTCGACCCCTGCCTCGCCTTCAAAAACTGCACTCTCTATCACTGTCTTTTCCAAGCCACTATGACGCTTGATGTGGCCACAAACGTCAACTTTCGGTACGGGATGCTGTTTGTGAGCTAGTTCTCCCTGATGTCCAACTCTTATTCAAAAACTCTGACTGAATGAGAGTCCATGAAAAGTGCATGATCTCAAGATTTTTACTTTAACCAATTTACTAGTGCTTTGTCATATGTTCCTTAAGCTGTTTAATCGCTGCATTGCTAATGCAAGTCTTCTTCTGACTTCTTTCTAGCAGTGATGATCACAAAAATGCCCAAGTATTCGAAATCTGTTACATTTTCTCTTTCTAAATTTTTTGATTGTGATATGTGGTCGGTGTGCTGTATTTACTGAGAACATAAATTGTGTGACTACTTTTCTTACACAAGTTGTTGTCTTAGATGCTGCATGTCATGTGTGTGCAGTTATCCCACTTTAAGAATATTCTTGTATGACGGACAAATCCAGCAATTAGTCGTGTTTAGGAAAAACGTAACAGGTTAATGAAAATTACAGACATGTATGGTCAAATGACATTCTTCTTCCTCGTGTAGTAATATGAAATAATGCTTGTCTAATGTTTTTAGATATTTTTCTTCTCTGTTCGTCCTTAAAAGTGGGTGCCATGTTGTGTTTTGATTTTCTGCAAGACTGTGATTTGCATGCGCCTTTTGTTAAAATAATTCCAGCAAACTTTCAGTTATTCGCCTGTTGACACATTCTTGTTAGAGGCAGTAAGTCTGTTTTCTTGTCCCCGCAAAATGGGGTAGCCAAATTCACAAGAGAATCAAATTTTAAAACATTAAAGTGTAATAAAACTATGACATACAGCTAGCCGTTGACAGCCATAATTTAACATACCAATTAGGCACATAAAGAATACAGTTTTCATTCTTACGACACGTCTCTTTCACATACAATACTCTGATGAATATGCCTTCATTGTTGCACACTTAGGAATTTCTTAAACACTTCTGGCTGCCCAGTCACTTGCTAGTAAGAATGTAATAATGAATGACGCTAAAAAAAAAAACATCGCATATTTGAATCTTTTGCCATACACAAAGATTCATAGCTCGTATGCAGCTACTGTGTCTGCAGTGTTAAAATAAATTGACATTTAAATTGCACTAAGTACACTAAAGAGTGATATGAAAGCCTGAATATTAGACATTTACCTTACATTGATTGTTTGGTGACTGGCTTTTATGTTCAGTACCTAAGAATCATGCCTGTGTGTGTGTGTGTGTGCGTGTGTATGTGTGTGTGTGTGTGGATGTGTGTTGTATTATATGTGTTAGCATGTTGTGGCGAATAATTCCCCAATATTGGTTAGGTAATATTTTAAGGAAACTCTCTTACTGTTTCTAGAACTCATCAGTACCAAGCAATTCAGTGTTTATTTGATTTTTTTTTTCAGTAGACGATTTAACATTATTAGACCAAAAGGAAAACATTGGAAGTCAATGGAAACGTAACGGCACGAAGTCCAACTTCTGGATTCAAATTCACAGCGAGTCCGATTTTTGTTTCCTTTAAAAATTTCTTATCTTTTCAAGTAGGGCTGTACCAAATATTCGCTTCGTATTCGCTTCGGGGCCGAATAGTGGACCTATTGACTATTCGGTATTCGGCCGAATAGTTGGGGGGGGGGGGCGAATACGAATAGTAGTTACCTTACACACGCTTCTGCATACACAGCCTTAATACTGACAACATGGAACTATTGGTTTTGTTGAAAGCTAATGCAGCTTTCATGCATGAAATAAGCTGTCAGTGACAATTTCCAAGTTTAGTTACTTGTTATAATACTTAGGATTCTTTCATTCCTAGTTATTAGTTACCACAGACTGACTGAAGGAGGCAAAACATAAAATGTTTGTAAATGTTAATAATTCTGTACGAATACTAACTAGACATGGAAAGAATGTAAACTCTGGCCACATACAAGTCAATAATCTGAAAATCAAACGAACGGAAACATATAAGTAGTTCGGTGCAAACTTTAACTGCTCCAACATGCTGAGAGAAGAAATACAATCTAGAAATAAGAATAAGAAGAAACTCCACAGGGGAGCATGTATAGCAGGAGTCTACCACTCATCAGTAGAAGTAATCTCTCGTCGACAAATGTTTCGGGCCATGAACTTCTAGACATGTTCAGAGAGTGGGCCCACCTGTTCATGAGGCTCAGGGTTTATTTTCTCCTTCTGCATGTATTACCGTATGTTATCGGACAGGAACAAGACGAATTGGTGACTTTGCAAAAGGTACTGTTATATACGAAGTCGCTGCGGTAGCATAAATAGAGCAGTCAGCTCACTTGGACGACCAAGTGGCAAGCTTACGTTTGGTTTATCGGACACATGTTAGACTTTGTTGGCAGGTGGCAGAGTGACACTGGCAGACACTTCGGACACAA